TTTTAAAGTATATGTATTATGTATAATAAATAAAAAGTCAAATCGTTTCCAATATTTTTATTTTTAAATTAGTGGCAGTGAAGTTTTATTGGGTGGGTTCCGTAACATTACAAAAACAAACCGGTACTGCCTCAGTCGTTGAGTGATGCTTGAACAAAAACAGCGATCTGAACCGATAAATAATTGAGTAGTAAATTGAGGTAAGTTTTATGCGTTAAAAGTCTCTGATACACGACGAAAGCAATATTTTTTATTTTAATAATAATAACTAAATAAATACAAGTTTACTGTACGCCAAAACAATTCACAGAAAGAAAGAAAAAAGTGAATTAAATATTTTGTACCTTATAGCTTATCGCTAAAAGTGATCTCTACCTTTAGATGGACCGAAACTTAAAATACGTAAAGACGAAGGTGTTCATTAAAAAAAATAAGACATAAAACAATTAACTATATAAATATGAGTAATATATACACATATATTCTAAATATTAAAAAAATGTCAATAAAATCCAATATATGCTTAATATTTTAGTAGATGCATCTACACAATACACCTATATATAAGTATATTATACAAATTAAAAAGAAAGTCCTTCATAATTGCAAGATAGTCATTTTTATTTCGCAAATCCGTAAAATTAGTTTTATTCCATATTTAGTATTTGCATAAATATAAGAAATCATTATTAGATAGATAGTTGTTAATACTTACAAAATTAAAAGTATGTGTCAGAGACTTAAAACGCGATATACACTATACAAAATCAGTAAAGCTTAAAAAATAACATGGTTATATTTTGGCACAAATGTTGCACATCTTTCACAAGCGATTTAAAAATAAACAGTGTACAAATTAGCTTCCAATAATAAATTATACAAGGAACATTTTAAATATAACAATCCTGTTTTTGAATAGCGATCCGAATACAGTGTAAAATATAATATTTTAACTTATATAACGTATAATAGACAAGTACTAAAAACACCTGATCCAAACAATGAAGATATTTTAAACGTTTGTGAATATGCAACATATCAAGTAACACAACAAGATTTAGTAAACGATTTGGCACATCATAAATACTTTCTTAGTGCGTCCGACTCCTGAATACGTGACACTTTACTAATATAATATTTTTACGTATTTTACAAATTGTCGTTATCAAATTAAATGGAGGTGACATCACTATTTTGAAGGATTCATCTATAAAAAGACAAGAATCCCAAGCTAAAATTTCGTCCGAATTAATATCTTACACCGTATTAGATACTTAAATGTTATGTATTATATAAGCACTGGTCACCATCCTGGTAACAAACTATTTTGTACGCAGCTAACGGCAGTGCGCGAGTGCGGTTTATAAAGTGTTCAGTCTCAGGCCATACATAATTAAAGGTACACATCCAAAACGATACAAATGCATTCCCTTGTCAGACTAAAATATACCACACTGCATTTTGTATATAGCAAAACGTGTCGCCTACAATTATTATTAATGTGTTACTTCGACGGCAGTACAGGCAGCCAACAACAATTTGAAAATCTAACTTTAAAATAAAGTTACTTCCAAAGGGAAGTAAACTATTTATCGTAATTTCATCCCCCAGGGCAATTAATAAGATGTACTTGACAGTATTTTTAATGTTGCATGATTTTTCAGTGTTAATTAATCATTATAAATCTGGACATTTGTAATTTTTTTGTATGCAGACTAGAAACAAGTTCAAAATATGGCAAAATTAAGGCGATTAGCCTTAATAGTGACTGCTGTTAACAGGTTTCATACGTACATACCTATTTATTTTGTCAATAGATTTTGTGCATGTACCAACCTTTATGTTTTTAATGCCAAATTTCTACTTGAATCAAAGAGTGTACTCCTCACCTAAAAGTCTTAAATGTATTTATTTTCCATACAATTTGCTGCCATTGCTATTTAATATTTATTTATAATTAATTTCTCAATCGAAACAAATGACATCGTGGTTCAGATTAGAGCGTAGTCAAAAAACTCGTTTACATTTTTGCGTAATAACTTCTATACACATAAAAATATTAAAACGGAACGTATTTTATAACTATATATTATAATATAATGTGCGTAACTCATCGTAACACCATAGACTCACCATTAGCTGTACAAACGAATTGCGAATAAACATGCAAATTGAGTAGAAACAACAAAGACGTCACAAACTTACTAACACAAGGTCGCAGCGCGTTTTTAAACAACAAAATACTAAACTTGTTAACAGATAAAATAGGTAAAGAGGTAGAATTATCACTACTAACTTTATAATAATTTATTAAGCGAGCATCAAAGCTCATTTACAACATAAAACTTAGTTCAAAATCATACGACAACATTTATTGAATTTTATATCTAAGGAATTATCGATAATAATCATTGACATATTATGTACTACGCACAACCGCGAACATCTGTAGTGCGGGGACAACCACGGCAGTGCAGGGCGGGTGGTCGGAAGCACAGAGTACCTTTTTATGGCACAAACTAAGTAAGTTTAAGCCAGTGGGCTCTAACGCGTGTTGCAAACTACTAAACCTAGGCGTCTCTTCTAGTACGTAGTTCATATTACATCAATGATAATAATTATAATTTTGCAACTATCAGCCAGCCACAATACTTTTACCAAAATCATCGATTTTATAAGTTTAATATAATTCACAAAATAAATTCGGCGTGAAGTTGTTTTGAAATAAGAACACAATCGACTTGTTTTTATGTAGCACTCGGTCCGGTTTCGTATTTAATGTTTTTTAAATATTTGACACCTAACAAAATAAATATAATACGTGCTTTTTTTGTAAATAATATAATATTAATTTGGAAAACTAGTATTCTTCTAATATCCGTATGCAACTATGTAGCCGAAATGTTTGAATGTGGTTCATGAAATATTATACCAAGTTTCAGAAATAAATTACAATTAATCTACGAAATAAGACATGAAGGTCTTAACCTTAAACTTAACTTTAAATTTATTGAAACGTATCAAATATAAGTATATACGTTCAGAGGAACGTCAACGCAACACTAATGTAGTTGTAGTTGCTATATTGAATAAAACTTATTTTACGGATTTTACCGCGTTTAAAAGACTGATTTTTACTTATTTTAATTCCTTATTACGTTACAAAATTGAAGGTAACCAGGGTCAACCATGACAGCAGGACGTCAAACACTTTACTCCTCACTAAGGTAAAATAAGTAAAAAATAAATCAAATTATACGCGATAAAATTAGTTTCATTCAATGTGTAGTATTCGTGTAAAATATAAGAAATCATTAAAAAGTTACTATATTATAAGACACATTTGGTATTAAATAAGGGGTAAGTTTGTATAAAAACAATTGTCGAAATTTGATAAATATTTCATGATGCCTTGCAATACAAAATGGACACGACAAACGACATCCGCGCATTACAAAAATGTACACAAAACACTAATTTAAAACGTGACGCCGACACCGATTCGAGCCTCACTTCATCACAAAGCGCGGGGGAGTCCCGATATTAATCAATAAAAAAAAATAATCACTGGTACATCTTAAATAACTTTACAATTCATGGCGCCCGCCGGCCGTAAACTTATTAGACTTCAGTATATTATACATTATTATTAGAATGCTCCACGTATCGGTAATATACAAAAATTAAAAACATTGTACAATAATTCTACGATATCATAGAGCTAATAAATACAAGAATCGACTTACAACTACCAATACCCGTTTGCATGATGACACTATGCGGCGACGGTATAATCGTATTGTAATTACAACCTCTTTTTTTAACATTCAATTTTTAATTAGTACAATTTATTATATCTATTTTATAAATTTCATGTACTCTCTCTGAAACATCGTCTCGTTCTGCTCTAAAAATTTAATGTTCTATTTGACACGCCACTGCGTAAGCTCCAGCGCGGTTCTCCCCTTCAAAAAACTCTCTATGGTAAAGGTGAGTATACACAGAGTATATTAGCGTGTCAATCTTTCGCGCAGTTGCTTTCAATCCTAAACAGCTTCTAAATATCGCTGCACATGTCACACTTCTCTATAACTGAATAAATGAGCAAAACTCTTTGTCTTAGCCAGTGATAATTAGGTACCTATACCTAATACCACGTGTATACTGGTCTAATAATTGTTTATATTATTGGATTTATAATTATTGGAGTCTTATACACAATACTTCATTTTATTATATATCCTCAAACCTCAAAAATAACTGATGCTCTGACATTTGAATAATAATAAAACTAATTCTTTCTGTTAGGCCAACGTTAGGGTGTTTAACGTGTGGTATAAAGTTATGAGAAAGAAAATTAATTAGGGTCTGGAATGTTCCATAGCGGTAATAGAATAAAAAAAGAAACTAACGATCTGTTATTTGATAAATCGTCGCTAACACTTGTATAATTTATTATTTATCTAAGAACATTGACGACTATCTCGATGATATATATTTGTGCTTGTGGCATCGAGTAAATACTTACACAATACGCTACAATAAATACCCGAGCGTGGCCCGGGCGTGCAACGACGGCCATTCGGGGTCCGAACGTCTCACACTCACCTTACAAATCGATAGGATTTCAGTTGTACCTATAATAATTTTGCTATTTAAACTAGAGTTGGACGCGGCTCGCCCGTGCTATTCGGTCACCGGAGCGAGTCGGTCACGACGAATTTTTTATAAGTCTCTTATCATCCACTGCTACTAGTACGTTTTATTTCTCTGCCGATCGCGACAACGCGAGATACGTCGGAAGAGTATTTAGCGCGGTTGTGAATCCTCACGGCGGGGTGTCCCAGCCTTCTCAAACGTGGCTGAGCTGCGAGGAGCGCGGGGTAGCGGCGGGGAGGCGGCGGGGAGGCGGGGCGGTGCGGCGGTCAGCGCGCGGCGACGCGGCACAGCGCGAGGCGCAGCGCGGCGGCGGCGGGCGCGGCGGCGCCGCACAGGCCCGATCAGAGCCGGTCCTCCTCCTCTTCCTCCTCGCCCTCGTCGCCGGCCTCCTCATTCTCCTCCCGGTAGCCGGGGTGCTCGCTGATCGCGTAGTAGTTCCCGTTGTAGATCACCCCCAGCTCGCGCATCGCGTCGCCGCGAATGGTCGCCTTTATCGTCCAGTTGTAGCAGTCGTCCGACTCTGACTCGCGGTCGAGTCGCTCCACGTCAAGGATCTTCGAGCTGAGCCGCTCGAGGATGATGCCGATGTCCTTGATCGTGAGGTGGCGCTTCTGGTCGACGCTGAGCTGGTCGATCAGGAGTAGGAACTTCTCGGAGGTGACCGCCTCGTCCTCCACCAGCGTGTTCTCGGTCTCGCTCTCGGAGGAGTCGCGGTCGCCGCGGCGGGTGGACTCTGCGTCGAGGAAGCGGACGTGGCCTTTCGGGCGGCCTTGGGGTGAGGCGCGTGGCTGCGCGTCCTGTACGTAGAGATGGGCATTTTAACGACAACCATATAATGTAACAGCAAGTATTTAACAAGTTAAATTTAAAAAGCAATTAACGTTAATTGCTTATTCCTAAATCAAACACGCTCGCCTGCATTTTGATGAATTTTCGGCCAAACAGTACCATTTAGAACGATTATTAATAAGCTATTAGACTACCGACCCCAAAATGTAATAATAATTCATATTATCATTAATATGGTCATATTATACATTATCATATTATAGGATTATTTTTCAGAGTGACCAAATTTTAAACTAAATTTCAAATATATACATAGTTAATGATATACCGTTACTGCAGCTTTTGAAAATACGAGTAAATATAAGGCTTCTACTTATATTTGAAATTCTTCTTCTTCGAGTGCCTCTCCGACTAGCGAAGGTTGGCAGTCAGCATTGAATACTCCTTCTTGTTTTTCGCGAGGCGAAAGAGCTCGGCAGCACTCCTAATTCCCGTCCATGTTGCGCAGCCAAGAATTTTTCTGCGACCAACAGCCCTTCTTCCTGCAACCTTTCCCATCATAATGAGTTGCAAAAGTTCATATCTTTCATGCCTAAACACGTGTCCGAGATATGCAACTTTTCTTTTCTTGACGGTCTCCAAAAGTTGCCGTTTCTGGTTGACGCGTCGCAGAACTTCTATGTTCGAGATCCTTTGAGTCCAACTAATGGCCAACATACGTCTGTATGCCCACATCTCGAAAGCTTCTATACGTTTCATGAAGTCTTCTTTAATTGTCCACGCCTCGCATCCGAAAAGAAATTTAGGCCATATGTAGCAATGTAGGAGTCGTACGCGCACAGGGATCTTAAGTCTGAGATTGCAGAGTACTTTTTTTAACGTGCAGAAGGCACTTCGATATATTTCTATGCGAGTCTTTACCTCCTGTTCACAGTTCCAGGTGTCATTAAGCCATGTCCCTAGATATTTGTACTTGCGCACCCTCTCAATTTTTCGACCCGCTACAATGATATCAATGTCATTGAAGCTATGCTTAGATAATACCATGATCTTCGTTTTTGATGTGTTCATCCGCAGGCCAGCGTTTTCACTGCACTCATTAACACGATTCACAATCAGTTGTAAATCGTCAGGAGATGATGGTATTAGGACTGTGTCGTCAGCGTATCTGATGTTGTTAATATACCGGCCATTTATATTGACTCCACATTCCAGGTCTTCAATTGCTTCTGCTATTATTTTTTCCGAGTACAAATTAAATGGCGTAGGTGATAATATACAGCCCTGTCGAACTCCTCTCTTTATTTCGACCTCATCAGTCTCCTCATCGCCAACTCGTACAGTAGCTTTCTGCTTCCAATACAGATTCTGGATAATACGTAAATCTTTGTCGTCTAAGCCGATATCATGTAATATCGAAATTAGACGGTCGTGCAGTACTCTATTGAAGGCTTTTTCATAATCGATGAAACAAAGAAAAACGTCTTGTTGCATGTCTCTGCATTTTTGTAACAGAACCAGCATTGCAAAAAGAGCCTCTCTCGTTCCCACTCCTATCCTAAAACCAAACTGGTTGTTTGTGAGTTGTTCGTTACATTTAGCTCTTATTCGCCCGTGGATGACAGTTTTTTATTTTTATTTTTTATTTTTATATAGGATAGGGTGACAAACGAGCACACAGTCCACCTGATGGTAGGTGGTTACTGTGACCCATAGACATCTACATCTATAATAAAGACTCAAAATTCAGATGCGTTGTCACCCGTGAGGACTAAGATGGAATGCCCATTTGCCAGTAAAAAGGGTCTCCGTTTCTCTACACTCACCATACGAAACACAGCAGCGTTAAGCTGCTATTTTACGCTGTTTTTCTGTGAGAGCGTGGTCCTTCCCCGGTCGAGCCGACCCATTCCTGCTACAACTATACTACTAATATAGCTGCAGCATGGCTCTACTACGTACAGTACACGTACAGTTAGAAATAGTTTCAATACTTGACTCATAAGGCTAATCGTTCAAAACTCTTCGCACCTTTTTGCGTTGGTCTTCTTAGGAAGTGTAACAAAAATTGAGGTCTTTGGGTTAGTGGCCAGAGTCGTATATCAAATTAAAAAATTTAACCAGGAAGTCAATATTTGCTTCTTTAATTGGTTTAAGTACCTCTATGTGAACATTATCCGGCCCGGTCGATTTTCCCGTTTTAGCTTTTCTAAGAGCGTTTGAGACTTCATTCTTTAGGATAGAATATCCCTCATTTGTGTCACAATTTACCGCTATGCTTCGAACATCGTCAGCAAACATTGATGAGATGTATTGTTCCCATAGGTGCTTTTTTTTCCTGATATATCTAATATGGGAATATTATTTTCATCCGTTAGTTGATGAGTGGTCTTTTTGTGCCCTACCAAAGATTTTATTTCCTTATGCAGGTTAAATGCATCATGTTTAGCATAAAGGTCCTCCACAAAATCATATTTACACTGATACCAAGCCTCTCGAGCATAGCGCACTTCACGCTGAATTATCTTATCAATTTCAGTATACTTGCTTTTGTCAGAATTCTTGTAGATTCTCCTTTCTTCAATACCCTACTACAAACTACCCTACTACAAATCAAATATAATGTGGGATATTTGAAATTATCCCACATTAAATTTGATTTATGGAAAACAACGTTTTTGCCTACTGACCGACCCTTACGAATGTGTGCGTGCACAGTAAAATCAGTTAAAATAATATATTACCACGCATTTTAAATTTAAAAGATAAAAAGGACAGAATATTTGAGATTTTTTTAAATTAAGTTTTCTTCACCATTTGCCTATATTACTTATTCTGAACCTCCTCTGCAAATTTGGCCGGTTATTGCAAAATAACCCTGTGTATTACTATCGTAAGGACCAGGCCGACCGCGCAACTAAATGGCATCAATGCGAAGGCCTTAAAATGACAGTTTAGGACCAACGCGACTCAGTGGACAATGATCCACGTGCAGGAGAAAGCGAGTATTTGCTTGACATAAGTATACCTAGATGCGTGGTAAAAGGCTGCCAAAATTACGTTACAAAGGTTCAAAAGGAACATAGGATATCGTATCATCGGTAATTAGCCTTACATTACTTCTGTTGCAATAAAATTGTTATATAAACACATTTTTAAAGCAATTACTTTGCTACCGAAGTACCCAATGGCGGTCATTGTGTGGCAGATTACGTTACCAACTTTACGTCGTCGGCCTATGCAGTTATGTCTTGCCAGCAACGCAAAGTTAGAAATTTGCATTTAGAAAATGAAAAATTAGGGGCTTTTTAGGTGTTAATTAGGTGCCAAGTTTAAAAATTAGGTGCTCTGAAATTTTCACCGCAACGAACTGTTGAAATTTGTGTTGCTGGCAAGACGTATCGCTGGCAACGCAGTGAGGTTAATAGATATGCGATAAATATTAAAAGCAAGGAAGTAAGTGCTAACTAAGTGCTGCAAATATAGACAATGACACGGTGCCCCTAATAAAAATAAAGTCGTTATTCAGTACAAAGCTTTGATTAAAAAAATATAATAATCCAATGGATGAAATAGAACTAAGAGTGCTTAGTGATCGTTGTAATAGAATTACGCGTGATGCCTACAACAATTATAACGAAAATCTGGAAAAGCAAATTCAGAAGAATCCGAAAGCATTTTGGACGTTCCTAAAGAGTAAACGCAATAATTCTAACTCGTATCCAGCTGCTATGAATAACGGAGTTAAAACTTCTACTAGAGGAGTTGAAATATGTAATATGTTCTCTAGTTATTTCGCTTCGGTATATGATGATTCAAATAGTTCCTGTCGTTTAAATCCGTCATCTCATTTACGAAAAGTCCTCTATTTAGGCTTTAGTGAAAATCTAGCAGGTATAGAAATAAATCAGAATGAAATTTTCAAAAAGCTGAAGGGTCTCGATATTAGCAAAGATGCAGGACCGGACAATTTACCACCGGTATTTATAAAAAATAGCGCAACTAGCCTAACTTTGCCTTTATATCTTATCTGTAAAGCCTCTCTGTGTTCGGGTACTTTTCCAGCTTTATGGAAAAAAGCAAAAGTAGTTCCAATATTTAAGAGCGATGATGAGAAAGATATACGCAACTATAGGCCCATATCAATTCTCTCGGTTTTTGCAAAGGTGTTCGAATCTTTAGTTTGTCCAATAATTCAAATGCATTTCAAACGTTTCGTTTCTGAACATCAACATGGATTTTTGCCAGGTAGGTCTACCACCACTAATTTAGTTAGTTTCACTTCCTCATTATCAGAAGCTATTGACTCGCAGAAACAAGTGGATACCATATATACGGATTTTAAAAAGGCATTTGACAAAGTTCCACACGGAATACTTATTGAAAAATTATCGTATTATGCGTTTTCAGGCCCGGTGCTAAAATGGCTTTCATCATACTTACAAGACCGTTCTTTTTATGTAGTCGTTAATGGGTTTAGCTCTTCAACCAATCTGGTAACGTCAGGTATACCTCAGGGCTCGCATCTTGGCCCAATTTTGTTTAATATATTTGTAAATGACATTGTTTCTTGTTTTGAAAACTCCACACCATACTTATATGCCGATGATTTGAAAATGACGAGAACAATTTGTTCACCAATTGATTCGATTTTATTACAGAGCGATCTAGATAAACTCACCAATTGGTGTAAATCTAATGGCATGCAACTCAACTGCAGTAAATGTCTTCATATTAAATTTACTAGAAAAAATAATATTACCCCAACGACATATAAATTGTACGGAAATAGTCTTAAGGAAGTTGAGCTAGTGAAGGACTTGGGTGTTATACTTGATAAAAAATTTACTTATCTTAACCACATAGAAAATGTAATAAACAAAGCTTCTAAATTACTAGGTTTTGTTATGCGACAAGGTCGAACTTTTAAAGAAGCTAAAACAAAAATCTGTCTTTACAACAGCCTTGTCCGCAGTCACTTAGAGTACTGTAGCGTTGTATGGCGTCCACATTATTTTACACACTACTTGAGACTGGAGCGTGTACAGAAAAGATTCATGTGGCATCTATCATACTCAGCGAAGATTAAAAAAATAGTGGTGTCCTATAAAAATAGGCTAAAATACTTTAACATCATGACTCTTGACCAAAGAAGAGAATTGTTAGATTTAATGTTTTTATACAAATTACTGAGTAATAAATTAGACTGCCCCAGTTTACTAAGTAAAATTAATTTTCGAGTACCACGCAGATATCCGCGTACTGCTATTACTCCGGTCATACCTCCACGCACCAGGACGGTATTCGGCGCCAACTCCACAATCCCTCGATTATGTAAAATATATAATAAATTCAGTCAGTTAATTGACATCAACATTAATTCGCCTAATACCTTTCGTAAATTAATTATAAGCAACCTAGTCAGCCAGTCATCCTGAGTGTGATTTTTTTTTCTCATATTAATTATTACGTATATTTTCTTTTAATAATATATATTTAGTTGGGTTAGATTATGATAGTTGTTAAATTAGGTTGTAATTTTGATTGAAAGACTAATTATTAGTTTGATTAAATCTCTTTTGTTGTTTAAATTGATAAGGTTTTACAGGCTTTTACCAAAATTACTATTGTGTTTTTTTTTGTTTGTTTCTGGTTTTGTTTTTTTTTTTCTGTTATTAACTTACTTTTAAATTTATTCACTAACACTAGCAAAAATAGCATGTAGTGTTTACCTTTAAATGATTTTACATACTCTGTGCATGTAATATAGTAATTATACTTTAAGAAATGTATGTAACGTATGTATTGTAAAATCGCTGGTAGACCCAATAAATAAATAAATAAATAAAGCAGATGCAAAAATCAGGTCTTCTGAAAATGATAAAAAGATAGACATCCGGTACTTACGTGTGGGGGAAGGAGGAGAGTTCTGTCTAATTTATAAGTAATAATTTGTTATGTAAAATCATAACCTATAATTTACTCCTTTAGAGTACTCTACAGACTAACAGCAGAAAACGCTTTTAAATATAGCTAACACAACTCATTGAGTTAACAGCAAATGTTTTTCTTAACGTATATCTTTACGAGTCACGCTAAATTATAAAAAAAAATTATAAGCAATTAAGCAGTTATTATAGGTTGCTTACGACAAAAAAAATTAAGCATATAATTTGTTGTCTATTATCATTATATTCACATCTCTACCTGTATGGGGGAGGTGGCAACGCTCTTGTGCACAGCGATGCGCCGGCCCTCCTCGTGGAGCGCGCAGCAGTGGAAGTCGCACTCGTCGGGAGGGGGGCGCGCGGCGGGGTGCGCGGAGGTGTGCGCGGGGGGGTGCGGGTGTGCGTGCGCGCGGCAGTCGACAGTGTGCACGTGCTGCTCGAGGGAGCCGGGCGAGCGCGTGAGGCGGGCGCGCGCGGGGCCCGGCTCGTCGTGGTTGACGACAGTGATGTGGGGGGGAGGTGGCTGCGGCCGGTCCAGTGACGTCTGGATCACGAGCGAGGGCCGCCGGTCCGGCTTGGCTTGCCGCGAGGGTGAGCGGGCGGCCGGCGACGCTTGCGGCCTCTGGTCCCAGTGCAACACCACCGTGACGCGCCCTTTGTTGTCCATGATCTTCCATGAAGGCGTCTCATCGTGCAGATCGAGCGCGTGGATCGTTTCGCACACTATCTTCGGGATCGCTGATATCGCTGGAATTGTTGATTATGTTCATTAGCATGCTTCACCAAGTCATTTAAGGCTGCCTCAGTGGTCTACTTGTAAACGCAACTGCTGATCGATGATGTTTTGGACTCGGTGTAAAAATCAGATATTGAGTTTTTCTGTGAAGAAATCTTTAGTAGCTGCACGGATTCAGGAAGTTGGCGATGTTTTATCTCCATGCCTCGGAAAACACGATGAGAGTGAGGGAATAGAGCGTGCACTCACTTATACACTTAGTCACTATAATACTGAACTGCGCAGATGGTTATTCTCCGTCATAGCGACGAGAAGGAGTAACAATCCACATTGCGACCAAGCGTGGTGAATAAGAAAAATCCACACACACAACTTTATTACGTGGTAAAGCTACGCTGTAGCTATGTTATAGTTGCAGCACGAATGGGTTGGCTCGACCAGGGTAGGATAACGCTCTCACAGAATACCAGCGTAAAATAGCAGCTTAATGCTGCTGTGCTTCATATGGTGGGCGTAGAGATCCGGAGCCCTTTTTACTGGAAACACTTTAAAAGGTAAGTGAATGCTGTGGCTCATAGATATCTCCATCTATCCTCAATAAAGTATCAGAATGCAGATGCGTTGCCACCCCTGAGGACTAAGATGGATGCCTCGTTTCCAGTAAACGGGTCTTTCCGGTTCTCTACACTCACCATACAAAACACAGCAGCATTAAACTGCTATTTCACGCTGGCGAGAGCGTAGTCCTTCACCGATCGAGCCGACCCATTCGTGCTACAACTATAATATACCTGCAGCAGGCGAAGCCTGGGCGGGTCGCTAGTAATGAATAAAGAAGAAGAAAGATGCCGTGGTACTAACCAGCCTTGATGACGTCGACTCCTGTGGGGTACCATCGCTCCCCAGGCCGCAGCAGCAGTAATACCGTGTTGGGTGGTAGCGTTCGCCAATACTCGCCGTCCTCTACATGCGTTCCGTCGCTCTCTAGCACCAGCCGCACAGGCTCGCTCGCCGCTACCGATAGCTTCTCCTTGCCTGTTCAAATTAAAGATAAAAAAAAAAATCTCTTTATATTTTTTTTACTATTCAAGTGAGCGCTCGACTACTATACCACCTGATGGTAAGCGGTGATACGGCTGAAGATGGTAACGCGCACTGACTCAACAACAGCATTGCAATCGGATGGAAAGACACATGCTGGCAACTTATTCCACTTCTTTGCTGTGCGCATGACGAACGATGAAGCATGTTTGGGTCGAATGCGTAAGTAAGTCGACAACGAAAGGGTGGAGACGTATATATATAATAATCTTGGGTGGTGACTGACTGGAATTTTTCAAAACATACAGTCTAATTGAGAACCTCCTCCTTTTTTCGTCGGGTGAAATATTTTTATTCTATATAACGAAAAAAAAAGATGTATGACAATCATTATTCAATAATATTCTTTTTCTAAAAGATCAGTTTCTTTTCGGTTCTTCTCTTCTACGTTTATTCTCTAGTTAGTCTGTGGTCTTAATTTTCGAATAAACTGCAACATTCATAAGATCTTAAAACAAGTCTGAATTTAATACGGAAATTTTGATTGTCTTCATGATAAGTGTACCACATTAATCACTCGATCTATAGTACTAGTAACAAAAATGAAAAGAACAAGAGAGTCTGTCTCTTCTTTAAGTCTTCTTTCATAACGGTGCGTGGAAAGCAATCAAAAGAAGATAAACATGTTGTTAAAAATGCTGGATTAAAAAATACGTACTTAATTCAGAATCAAAAACGACTAATTTGAAATCAATTTAAGGTCTGTCTAGGAGCCTATATCGAACTGTTCTTTCTACTTCTTTTTGGGTATTTTCAACCAGCCCCACTATTTCCTATGTAAGAGGCTCACTTCCGAGCAATTGTGACTAAAACTCATAAAAAATCCTAGCTACAGCTGTTATAGATTCCACAGTATAGTCTGGGTCCCATGTCGTTGTGATTTAATATTAATTTCCTCATCAGCGAGTCTAGTAAATGTAAATTTATATTTCACACACTTCATCAACAAATGTTGATCATCCGCTAAAACCCTACACTACATATACTCGTAGCTACACAGGTCACAGGCAGCTCGTGTTGCTCTATGGTCTAGAACGAAGTCTTAAAGTTAACTATACATTTCTAGTTAGCCTCACATTATCAGGGATTGCAAACATATACCTATTTCTTGTTACAATAATCTTTAAATATTTATTCACATAGTAATAAAATATGCAATATTAATTACAATAATAAAAAAAATCTAAAATTATCGTATAGTCTTACTCCCCGCGGTACTATACCAAGAACACTGGCTGCATTTGCTCGCTGAATGGCTATGCTTAGCCTTCGAGTGAGAAAAGAACCAGTCCTTTACCTCTAATATATTTTAAAGTTTGTATTTTAAGTTTAATTGCTAATACTGGGTTATGAATATTCGTAATTATTTATATATGAGGTGCCAAGTCCTATCTAATGTACCTTTAATAAAAATACCATTTTTTTTCAGTATATTTGTAATTGATGCGTTCATAGTTTGTTATTTTTTCAGTTATTAATTTTAGAAGTTATAATTAGAATCGCACGTTAGAATTGACGCGACGAATAGAATGAAATTACGAGTATGAGGGTACCTTGTACGACAGCGGAGTCCTTAAAAAATCTAATATAACTACTTCGTTTTAATCACTTACTAATTTTTAAAACAAAATGTTTTCCTTTGCTTACACGAGAAACAGGTACACATAAACAATTGCACAATGCATTTTAGAAAATGAATTTTCAACCATTATTTTATCTCTCCTTCCAATGTACTAGAACGATGCATGTAGAGACGCGCACTGAGTAGGACTGGAGTGACAGCATTGGACGAAAAGCGGGTCAGACGGGAGCAGCTGAGCGGCAAATCTTATTGACCTGCAGCTAAATCGTTTACATGGTATCGCGTGAAGCCGATGCGTCTAATTGGAGATGAAAGGCTTGCCGGCGCAGAGGGAAATTAGCCGCTAGCTTGTTAAATACTTATTAGGATAACATTTATGCTCATTTTTTATATTCTTTATTCTTTCTTCTTCTCAAATCATCAATATAAATAAAAAGACGAGTCCAGGTTCATTCACTCACTGACTCATCAACTCCCATCTTTGGACTTAGGAAGCTAAAATAGTGCACAGAGATTCCCTTTATAATGTAGACAATGAATAAGGAAGGATTTTTCAAAATTCTAACGGAATCTAATAACTAGGAGAATAAAGAGGAAGGAAAGGAGGAGGAGTTTTATAATTTAGTTCGTTATCAGAGCGAAGAGAGCGACAGTGACTCAAATCTCTCACTATGTAACTCAAACCGCTCTTTATGTAAAGAATGGTTTGTAAGATTAAATAGTACTATATAAAAGAGAAAGAATGTGAGCTTTACTGTGAAGATAGATCGGAAATCACTTGAGATTTTCACGGTATTCGGAAATATGGTCATATTTTCTGAACCCAAATATACAAAGAGTTTGAATGCGCTCAAGTTTATTTAGCAACTCCATTGAGACAGCACGTGGTCAGCATAATCGAAAATGGTAAAATAAGTGATTGTGTAAGCGCAGTTTAGTTGGTATGACTAGGAAATTGTTCAAATCAAATCAAATAAAATCTGTTTATTTTGTGAACATAGGTTAATTTACAGATCTCGATATGTACATAATAAAACATACTCGTAAGGTAGGTTCTCTATGTCACGTCAGTAGGCATACAAAATATAAAATTAATAAGTGCATAATGATGCTAGTATCATTCACAAAAAAAATTTCCATTTTGATGTCAGGTTCTAATTGAAATATTTTTTATTATTAAATATTGTTTAATCTACGGAGAGCTTTAATCGACGCAAATACTCTAAGATATAATTAAAAAATTTTGTACAGCCGATTTCAATAGAAGTTATTAAGGATAATTCGAAAACTACTGGTCAGACCTTGATCAAATTTATATAGGACCACATGTGAAGTAGCAGCATTCAAATAAAAAAAAGAATCGTCGAAATCGATTCACCTGGAAAAAAGTTATGAGGTAACACATATAAAAAGCATACAGTCAAATTGAGTATCTCCTCCCCTTTGAAGTTGGCAGAAAAATAAAGAGCCCAAGATAAAACTTTGTCAAAATTAATGTATAGATTAACGGTATCACTATATCGCACGGTTGTCGCATCAAATATAATACCAGGTAGAGTATAAAAATCAAAACGTTACCAATTTTTAGCTGCCTATTATTATTGAATATAGTTATGGGTAAATCCACCAATTTGTCTTGCAAACATCACCAAATATATGGAGATCATCTGCATACAGTTAGTAAGTAGCAAGAAGATAATTGAAGAGTAATAGAACTTATGAAAATTGAAAAAGGGAGAGAAGACTACACGCCATCGTGCGTTACACCGGCATTGATCGTGCAACAGTTAGAAAACGCATCATTAACAAGAATCTGCCGCCGGCGACCAAACAAGTAACAATGAAACCAGTCAATTATTTCAGGAGATATGTTAAGAGAAGCTAAGATAGCTAATAAGAGATTAAAATCGACATTGTTGAATGCTTTGCTAAACTTTAAAAAAAAATGAGCACTAATAATTCTCTATTCTCAGGATTTTTGTAAATTCCTACGGGATAGGAACGAAATAGAATTTTTCAAAATTGCCGTAAATACAACGCGAGCGCATAAACATTACGCATTGGTCATTGGTCAGTACTTTTTTTTTAACTTTAAATATTGGTTACTAACCGACTGGCATACTGAGCGTCGGAAATAGAACATGCAAAAGTAAGCACTTATATGTTGGGTATATTGTCGGACGTCTGAACAAAATGTAGAGACAAAAGAACTTTCTTCAAAGTTCAAGGCCACGAAGATGAGCTTCAACTTGAGCTTTAAATAGACATCTCTTATACACCTTTTATGTTAACATAAGTTGTTGAGTCACGTGTACATGCATTAAAGAGCCGTGGTAGTTCAGGGTTCAGCTTTACGTGACCAACCCGGGTTCGATCCCCGCCGGTACAAACGTAATTGTTAATGTCAATTTTAAGTGCTGATTTACCACGTACTCGACAATGAAGGCAAACATTGAGTGAAAACCCGCAGGTATGAAAAATTAAAAAAAAATATTTTGAAGAGATTTGCAGTTAGCCAACACGCTATACACGCTCTCAGGAATGAGGGCAGGCCTATGCACAGCAGTAGTACTTACAATTGTATTGGTAGTAACTAGTACATAATAAATGTAAATTATAATATTCATATTCAAAAAATATCACTGACCACTATATGTACAAGTATAAAATATGTATAGGTTTTCTCGATTCCTTTCATAATAAAGGTAAGTTGTTTTTTGGAAATAGTGTAGGTAACATAGTTGGTTTACAAATATCCTTTACTTATATATTATATTTCACAAGCTAGTGCAACGTTACTAGTGCAAGGATATCAGCTCTGCGTGTTTTTAAGAGAAATCAGTGTGACAGCTATTTGGTAAGAAATTTTATCATCCTATTTAGTCCCGTTGGTGTCGTACGGGTCGTCTAACGGATATGCCAGAAACATCTTGTAGCTTTCATGGTGGTGTAATCATCTCGTTTATGTAAGTAGCAGTGCAGCATCTTTCAACTTTCAAAAAGTGTTTCCAGCTGTCAATTGTGATGATTAAAATTTTCCTTATAAAGTGAGAAGCTCATGTTCAGGATTAGATTTTTATGAGCTTATGAAGAAGATGGGAAAGCGTGTAGTCGCGGTGTAATAATACCCACTACCTCATATCGTTCCGTGGGCGTCGTAAGAAGCGAAAGAAGGAAATTTAAACAGAAGATGGGCAGTACCATCTTCCTGATAACATCATTATCATCATCATCATCATTACAACCCTTCACAAGTCCACTGCTGTTCACAGGCCTCCCCCAAGGAATGCCACAAAACACAGTTCTCAGCCACCTGCATCATCGAATTACATCCTGATAACAGCTTAAAAAAAACTGTGGCAGCGCAACCGGCATGCTAAGCAAGGCAATTATGGCAAAATGACCCCCCCCCCCCCATGTGAAAATTTATGAGCGTCCCAAACGAGTGTACAGTCCATCCACGTGACTGTAAGTGGATGCTATGGCTTTACTTATAATTAAACATCAAAATGCAGATACGTTGTCACCTATGAGGACTATGCTAGAGTGTCTCGTTGCCAGTACAAAGGATGTTCGGCTGCATTTTTACGCTGGTTGTCTGTGCGATAGTGGTCCTTACTCGGTCGAGCTGGCCCATACGTGTTACAATCATACTACACTGCTGCGTGACTTGAGCACGTATAAGACAAAATATGATGAAAATGGCAAACTTCAAAACAAGATTTATTTTCTTAAATGGAAAAAAAATCTTCGAGAAATAAGGTTTTTAATTAGAAAAAGAAATACTTTTTAAATGAAGAAGCTTATGTACACTTGCTTTCAACTCAAGGGTGTGTAAGTCGGTCACGCGGGGCTGGCAGGATGGCAACCTACAAAGTGACTCATAAACCTAAGACAAGTTGAGAAGGTAAGAAAATGCGGTGTGAAAATTATAACATTTAATTATAAAATTAAATAAACTTTTTTCACTTTATATAAAATTTTGGTGTAAAATGACCTAACAGTCCACCTGATCATAACTGGATACTCTAGCCCATAGACACTTGCAACCAACTTGCGTCAATAAATCTACATAAAGGATATGACCCCTGAGGATTAATATGAAATGCATCACAGTCTGAAAAACGCATATTCATCTGAAAAGGCTGAGATTGAGTGTTTCAAACCGTTCAAATATTTTGATTCCCCTAACTTCATACCAAAAGACACGTGTGACACGGGTGATTGTAAGGCTTGACCGGGGTAGGGGGGGGGGGGGGCTTTTTACTGGAAATGAGGCATCCCATCTTAGTCTTCAGGGGTGACACATTTGCATTTTGATTCTTAATCGAGGATAAATGTAGATGTCTATGGGCCACAGCAACCACTTACCATCAAAAAATCTTCTACACACTATGTTTTAGTACTGACTTCAGAGTGAGAAGTTATTATATTATTTTTAGTTCTTTGAAATCGGTTTTTATTTTTTATTAACATTTAATATTTGGAAAAGTGATCATCATGCAAAGAACACGCAGATAACTACCAAAAAAAGTGCACGAAAATATCTTCTTCGACTCGTTAATCAAGTTACGCACTAAGTTAACACATCGTCTGTCCTTTTTAGAATGAGATTCAACAACATCAACTTTTTTCTTCTTCCCAAATCTAGCACGCAAGTAATGTTCTGCTGAAGGTAATTCCATTATGATAGGAAACATTTGCCCAAACAGGTAGTTTGACGATCGAAGTATTTTTTTATTGAATACGGATAGCAAACGAGCACACTGTTTACCTGATGGTAAGTGTGTGCTGTGTGTGGGCCATAAATATTTTTTTTATAGAATAAGGGTGACAAACGAGCACGCAGTCCACCTGATGGTAAGAGGATGCTGTGGCCCATAGACTATATATCTACTCGTACATGTATCCTCGACTAAGAATCAAAATGCAGATGCGTTGTCATCCCTGACTACTAAGATGGAATGCCTCTTTTCCAGTAAAATGGGTCTCCGTTTCTCTACACTCACCATACGAAACACAGCAGAATTAAGCTGCTATTTTAAGCTGGTATTCTGTGAGAGCGTGGTCCTTCCCCGGTCGAGCCGACCCATTCGTGCTACAACTATACTATTAATATAGCTGCAGCATGGCTCTACCACGTTAAAAAAACATCTAACTTAGATGATTATTTAATAGATAAAAATATGAGGACGTAATGATCTTACTTGACCTTGTAGTGACGGTATAAGAATATCCACTACCCCATATCGTCCCGTGGGTGTCATAAGAGATGACAGAGGGAAACTGAATCAGGAAATGGGCAGCAGCATCTTCCTACTAACAACACACATTAATAAAGAACTGCGATTGCCAACCCCCCCGCCTAGCGTGACAACTGTGGCTAAATTCCCATTATGAGGCAAACTAGAAGGGAGTGTTCCTATATATCCCATATTCCTCTGTTAAAAATGATTGAATGAACAAGTAGTAAAATTAAAAAAATTTGTACAACCGACATCAATATAAATTAATAAGGATAATTCAAAACAAGTCAGACCTTGATCAAATTTATATGGGACTACATGAGAAGCACCAGCTTTCAAATAAAAAAAGAATCAAAATTGGTTCACTTAGAAAAAAGTTATGAGATAACACACATAAAAAAACATCCTTTTTGAAGTTGGTTACAAATAAGTGAATATAATTTAGGATTATGCCTTATGATGGCGACGTAAGAATCCATCACCCAATTTAATCCCATGGGTGTCGTAAAAGGCGACCATGGGATATGCCCAAATGATTTTATGGCTTTCGAAAGATAGCGGTATAATCATCTCGTTATAACACCAGGTGTATCAGACGTATCATAATTAAAAAGAATTAATGAATGATATCACCGCACCGTGGTAGAGCTAAGCAGCAACTATATTATGTTTATAAGAACGAATGGGTCAGCTCTACCGGGGAAGGACCACGCTCTCACAGAATGCTAAAGTAAAATAGCAGCTTAGTAAAATAGCAGAAAGTGCTCGAAACGTCGAGAATATTAAATAAGTTAATATACGCGATAAAATCCGTAAAATTAGTTTTATTTAAATGCAGTTTCGTGCTGTTATGTTTCTAAGGGTGAGTGTCGAGAACCGGAGACCCTTTTTACTGATAACGAAGACTCCATCTTAGTCCTCAAGGGTAACAACGCATTTGCATTTTAAGTCTTGATTGAGGATATATATATAGATGTTTATGGGCTACAACATCCACTTACCATCAGGTGAACTGTGCTTGTTTGTTACCCTTATACTATAAAAAAACCGCACATTCATGCATTCTTCCACTGTGTACTGTGATTGTCTATGCGCCTGCCAAGTGTAACAATTAAGAAAAATCCTCCCTGCAATTGGTGAAGCCTGCGTGCAGTTAGATTTTACGGACTAATTAAGAGATTATTAAGCATTAATATGTAGAAATAGGGCTCAATATAATTAAGTTGTCTAAATGCGTGTGGGTCTACTACACTTGTCTTTGATATTTTTTACACGTATTGGGATAGCGCGGCGGACGTTACCCTGCTCCCTTAACTTATTTACTTTAACTTCGCTTACTGTAACTTTAAATTAAACTTATACGTCATACATCTTAGATGTATGAATGTATGTATTTATAACTCGAAAACATTACACTTAAGTAAATTCTAAAAGTAATGTGTTAAAAATATTTGGTGAAGTTCCTAAAGGAATCGCGCTGATCGTTGCTGCTGGTGATAAGAGGGCTGGTTCTTTTCTCGCTCAAAGGCTAAGTATAGCCATTTAGCGATGAAAAGCAGCCAGCGTTCTTGGCACGATACCACGGGGAATAGGATATTTAACTTATATTAGGTTTAGTTTTTTATTGTAGTTTTTCAATATTGTATATATTAATAAATATTTAATATGATAAGAAATATATTTTAACTTTTTTGTGAGTAGGGCATATATACTGACCTCTGTGTATAAGTTCCTCGAAGCTAGTGACCACCAGCCCCTTCCTCACGTTCCGAGAACTGTCCCATATCTTGAAAGGCCTCTTCCCTCTAACCTCCTGCAGATATAATGAAGAAGTGTTTATAATGACTTCTACTTACACATTTGTAATAAAAATGTTGTAATGTCAAATATTACACAAAAAATGCACTTTAAAAATGCTTTTCAAAATACAAAATATTTACATTTTTAATACAACATATTTTCATTTCCGTAATTAATTAATTAATTAATTAATAAAAAACAAATAATAATATATTTCATTTTTATTATGTTGCTCATGCACGAATTAAAAAAAATGCTATACTTTTTAATTTTAACGAAAACGGATCAAGGATAGATATATCCATTCCTTACAATATTGGGAGATAATGAGCATACATACATGATTTCATGATCAGCAATATACCACTAATGAAACTAATATGACAAAGCGTAAGTCATGCATAAATGTGCATAGATGTGGTGCTACAACTGCTACGGCGTAACGTCACTACGATTTCGTAGCGCGTAGCCGGTCACAGCGCCTGCACTGGTGCAGCGGTGCAACGCCCCTGCGACCTGCGCCCTCGCCCGCCCAATGACACGCCCCTCGCCACGCACTGTGCGTTGACCTACTGACATCGCTACCCTGCACGATCTTTAATTTAGAAGACGGCCCAGTGCTGGGCAAAGTTCCTTGTAAGACTTTTCTTCTCTTTTTTAAAAACCCTTATACTAAACCTTTTCTATCCAAAGGCAGTTCATGCTACATAATATTAAGTGTATTAGTTATAAGAAACTAAGAACTCGAAATTTAAGAATACAAAACTCAAGTATTTACGTCGTTTTTATAAATTTGTAAATTCTCCCTTAATGTGGGGTACATAATAAATATAGAAATAGGCATTTATAATATGACCATAAAGTTTAAAATTTTCGAAAACACCGGTAGGTATTTGAGTGTGTTTGTATGCATCTAAATATTATTGCTAATTGCTTCACCGAAGATGTAGATGGTTAAATAACGTAGCTTAAAGCCTTGTATTTTGTTTTCATTATTTGTATTCAGTGTGACCATGCTCTGTTAGTTAGTAACAGCTGATGTCAAGAGATGACAGGGGTATTTTACATAGGTTAGATGTGAAAAATGTAGCGAGAAAAAAGCATTGGCGTTGAGGATATCCATAATAATTACGCTTTTTTAATGTGAATGCGGTCAAAAATGCAACAAGTCCACTAATTTATAGCTAATGTTTGCTTCTAAAATTTTATGAAAAGTTACCTCCTGTATTTCAACAATCATTTTCACCAATTAAAATCACTTCACTAAATTTTTTAGAGGCCCACTTTCACCACAGCACTGCAGTCTTCCTAAATATCTAACAATGTAATGCTTCATTATAGTCTTTATTATGGGACCCTTAGGATCAATTTCGAGTTCTGAATTTTTTACAAATTCGATCAAATTCACTTCAACTTAGATTAATTTATTGATAGCCGACTATGCAGATGATACAATCAATTCTTTTAAAAATAAAGTTTAAAGTAAAATATAATACAAATAGTTGGAGGATAATCCATAAAAAATAGATTATAGAATCTTCAAACACACCCTTTCACGTGAACATCACGGGCTATAATCGAATAAACAATTTTACACGTCCTACACTATTGACTATAAAATGTAGGCACATAGAAAATCGTTCACGATTGTAGAGTCTTTACGTAACGGAAACACGAAGAAACCTTAAACCAGTTCGGCAGGGCATTATATATACATTATGTTGGTGTAAATTGTGTATAGTTATAGTATAGAATAGCATTAATTGGATTAGTTTAGATTAGAGGTTATAAGGCGGGCGCGCGGTGCGCGCGGGCTAACGCCGCGGCCGCTATGTCGACTCATGACTCGCGACTCGTGACCGGGTCGCGGCCATCCTCCCCGCACCCCTCCCTTTTGTGCCTTCCCCCGCATGCCTATTCCCTCCCCGCAGCCCGGGCGGCCCCGAGCCCGCACTGCAGCCTCTCGCCGCTCTCCTCTATGCCGTAACATCTTTGGAATTAGCAACGCCGATGATGCAATTTTGGACAAAATAGGTTCCCAGAGGTTTTGACTGTACACTTTTTCCCTTTCTCACAGCTGTTTAATGTAAATCAACATAAAATATCGTAAAGTTAGCCTATTGTTAGTATGAACTTGATGTTATATATATAACCTACTTAAATATCTTTCTATTTATATTATGTCACGTAATTAAAATAACCGTTTTAAACGATATGAAACATTTTTGTAGGCTATATTCGTTTGATTAAATAAGCGATTGCAATGTCCTAATTTGGAAAGTTCATTTACATGAATAAAGTATAGCCCGAGGTTTATGATATTAAAATCATTAAGAAGATTTTCATTAACCGCTGCTAAAGTAAGTTTTATGTATAAGAACTGTTATGTCGTGATTGTGTACATTACATCGTAAAGTTTAGAGCTTGTCGAATGCTACAAAGTGCTACGCTGGTATCGCCGGTGGTATTCTCTAAACGAAATTCAAATATGAATGCGTCCATTTTAGGCTTAATAAAGAATATTATTAAATAAATGAATTTATGATATAACATATGCCTCAGCCAGCATCAGAATCCTCGGCGTCAAGATAGAGTAAAGTCGAGAGACAGTTCCGCAGTCACTTGGAAGGAAAGGCTAAATTGGTTTCTAAAATTTGGTGTGCTCAGTAGATCTAGACGGTATAAAATACCGACCCACCGCTTGAAGCTTTACAAAGCGCAAGTTCGGCTTCATAGGTAATACTCTACTTATCTCTGAACCACCAGATTTTTCCACTTCATCGCATTCAACGGAGAGCATCTCGAATCATCGACGACCAAGTTCAACATTCGACATGATCAACTGATCATCAACTTGTCTTCCGATGAGATATTGCATCTCTCTGTGTACCTTCTATGACATATACCACGGGACTGATCAAAGGAATTGTTTGGATTAACTCCAGCAACTGAACTCAGCATCGGAAACTGCAACAAAACTCGAAATTCTATCCACATCATCTCGATGGTTGACTGACCAACGCCGTGCGTTTTACATAGAATTTTTCTGCCACGTACAACCACATTGAGGAGTTCACTGCTTCCATCGGCTTTACTGGACCTATACGACTTAGGGACTTTCAAGATGAAATTGGCTAAAAAGAGCTTACTCCTTTTTAAAAAGTCTCTCCACAAACCTCTGGTGTTGCTGATATACATGGGAGGCCACGATCACTTGCGTTCATCGCCTGTTGTCATCATCTCGTCGTTAATGTTTATGCTTTTACCACGAAACCAACCTCAAATATATTTCTTGTATCTCTTTTGTTATAGCTACAGAACTATATTATATACGTAGCCCGACATATACTCGAAAGATTCTTCAAATCAAGCATTCATTTTATAACCGCCGCAAGCCGCTGACTATGTGGTTGGTTAAGTATGAAAAAGTATTAATTGTATGTTTTTATAGAATAAGGATGACAAACAAGCAAACAGTTTAACTGATTTGGATGCTGTGGTCCATAGACATCTACATTTATCCTCAATTAGGAACCAAAATGCAGATGTGTTGTCACCTGTGAGGACTAATATAGAATGCCTCTTTTCCAGTAAAATAGGTCTCCGGTTCTCTACACTCACCATACGAAACACAGCAGTATTAAGCTGCTATTTTAAGCTTGTATTCTGTGAGAGCGTGATCTTAATAGAACGTATCGTTTCAAGTAAACAGGGTCATGGTATTTATTGTATGTCTCGAACAGAGTACAATTGAAATAGAAGTAAGGTCTCACATATTTCACAATAATTCTGCACTGCATATATGTTTGATATGTTTTTATTGCAAAATAACAGTTATAAATAATATCACGTAAAAAATATTGTTTCTTAAGTGATTATAAAATTATTAACACAGCACTCTAATAAGAATATGTATGAAACTTTCCTTTTTCTTCAACGGCTCGTTAAAGTCTAATAACAAAAAGAGGATAACTGCACGGTTTATTGCGCTTTATTCTTCTACGTAGAAGAAATAATTATATTTCATTTTATTTTATTTCGATACTTTTACAATACGTAGATATAACGCGTAGATCGTAGACCCTATCTATGTCGTAGCAATTCGCAGTAGTATCGGCGTGTGACTGATTAATTACAAAATATTTTTCATTTGAAAAAAAGAAATATTTATTTGTTCTATATATACATATAAATAAAATTGAAGTGTCTGTCTGTAATATCGAAATAACACGCCTTATATTGAGTTGAAGAGGTTATTTGCGTGCTTTTAAAACATGAATAAACATTTTTTAATAAAATAAAATGTTTGTGTCTGTTCGGGCTAATCTTCGGTATTTTTTTATAGAATAAGAATGACAAACAAACACACAGTCTACCTGATAGTAAGTAGTTGCTGTGGCCCACAACAGACATCTACATCTATCCTCGTTTGCGAAGCACAATGCAGATGCGTTGTCACCTGTGAGGACTAATATAGAATGCCTCTTTTCCAGTAAAATAGGTCTCCGGTTCTCTACACTCACCATACGAAACTCAGCAGCATTAAACTGCTATTTTACGCTGGTATTGTGTGAGAGCGTGGTCTTTCTCCGGTCGAGCCGTCCCATTCGTGCTACAACTATACTATTAATACAGCAGCAGCATGGCTCTACCACGTAAAAAACTGAACTGATTGTAAAAAAAAGTTCACGAACAGATAGCAAGTAATTCCAGAAGTGATCTAGGCTTTATTTTATTGAAAAAATTTGGAAGTTTTTCTTAAAATTAATTAAAAAATTATAAAATGCTATTTAATCATCTTAGATCTGAATAATGCTACATTAATAGAAACAAGCCAAGCGAAGCCAGAGCGGGTCGCTAGTATCTAAAAATATTTATTGTTGATAATTTACATAAATCTGATTTAACTTGATCTACTGAAGTATGAAAATACATACAAAATACATGCAAGCGTCTAGCGGCCAGTACCAAGTTAGCACAAAATACCAGCGTGAAATAGTAGCTCAACGCTGCGCTGTTGTGTTTCATATGATGAGTGTATTTTCTGCCGACTTCCAAAAAGGAGACGGTACTCAATTCGATTGTATGTGTTTAGGCCCAAAAATGGTCATTTGAGACGGCATCCAATCGTCTTCGACTTAGTGAATCGCCCGAAGGTGTTAGGTGTCACGCGAGTCGCGGGAAGAAGGCATCGGTATGCAGCTTCCCAGCGTTTGGCGCTCGTGGGCGAAAACAGTAGCTTGAGTGCAGCGACGCCGTCGCAACGTAACGTATTTGTGGTGACCGTGGCAGCGATTTTGTGCGACCAGTTTGGTTTTATGGTTTAGATTTTCAGTATTTGTGCGCGTTACTTCGCTACTTAAATTGTGTTTCGTAAAGACCGCCTCGGATTAGGTTGTCTAAGTATTGCAGTGAGTCTACTCGGGCCGCGTGATCACTGCCTTAGAAGGTCGCGTTCGAATCTCGAAATAATTTGTTGCTGAGTGAACGGAAGTGAACTTTGATCCACCGTTCATCAGTCGTGCCGCGTGTTACGTTTTTGATTATAATTAACGGGATTTAATTGAGTTTTGAAGTTAGTTAAATGTACAATAAAGTTGCTAGACTGACATAGTGAATTGAAGAGAGAATCATTGTGAGGAACTACCGGTTGTAAAGGACGCGTGTGGAATTATAACTTCGATTTAAATGCCTCTCATTTTTGCGTTGTTTTTTTTGTTTTACGTGTCAACGAGACTGAATTTTGAGTTTGAGCGATTAATTAACGTCGTACAATTAATTAGCGTCTAGTGGTTTAGTGGTTGCATGCATAAGTGCATTCTGACAATATTAATTCGCGTCGACGAGTTGCTTTGTGCCGTTTGATTTAACTCGGAGATATTTTTCTGTGTCGGCTAAACCCGTTAAACTTTGTGACGCAGCGAGAACCAGCGTTCGTATTAGATTATAGATTTGTGCTAAGGGACGCTAGACTTTGAGTAACACCGAATGACGCCGCTGGAGTGATACCAAATAGGGTGGCGGTGCTGGAGTCAGGGTTGCTGCTGATTAAAAAGGGCTAATTCAAGTTAAACATATATACACTTCTCACACACTACTTACATTCACTACACCTAAGGCCTGAAAGAGCCTTGTGGTCCGTCTTCGCCTCAGAACCAGGTAAGTCGCATTAAGTATTTTTTTTTTTTTTTTTTTTTTTTTTATAGGAGAGGGGGCAAACGAGCATGCGGCTCACCTGAT